GGACGGGGCGGAGCCGGGCCGCGTGGACACGTTCTGGTACAAGTTCCTGAAGCGGGAGCCGGGAGGAGAGCTCTCCTGGGAAGGTACTGGAAGCCGGCGGCCGTCCCCGAGCGCGGACCGGGGGCTCGGGGCTCCGCCTCGGCCTGGGGCGTTCGGCCGGGGCCCGCTGCGCGCCCCCTCCCGGCCTTCGAAAGCCGCCCCGAACTCCCCGGGTGCCCCGGGCTGACCCTTCGCGGCCGCCCGGCGGAGCGGGGCCCGGCGCGCCCCTTTCGCCTTTGCTCCCCGACCCTCCGCCCTCTTCCCCGCACACCCAGCACCCAGTGCCCAGTGTGTGTCCCCCGCGCCCCGGTCGCTCCCGGGTTCGCTCGTCAGCTCCGCCTTAGTGGTTTCTGTGTCCTCGCTTTCCCGCCTCGTTCGCCGAGACATCACCCAACCGGAGGAGCTGGCCTGCTCGCTCATCCTCGCGCTTCCTTTCCCTCTTAGATCTGAGAGTGAGCGAGTTGCAAACACGTTGTTTCTCTTTTCGGCCAGACCCTGGTTTCTTAGGCTCTACACACAGTAGACGTAGTTGTAAAAACAGCCAACTTTCAAGGTAAAAACTTACTGTTTCTTCCGCACACCTTAAGCCCACTGCCAACTGCCCAGTATATGTGTCTGTCAACCTATCACGTATCTATCTCACGCGCAGATCGTATAATAGAGGATTCTACGCCTTGCCTTTTCTCGCCTAACGATATGTTGCGGATGCTTTTTAGTGTCACTCCATAGAGATGTATTTATTTGGTTTTTTAAACGGCAACAAGATAGTCTGCATCTAACTTGGGTGCATTTACGTTGTCTCTTTCTCCTTTGCTATAAACAGTAATAGCTTAATGTGTGCAGCTGTCTTTGAGTGTTTGGGAGTGTTGCGGTGGGGTGGTTTCTGCCAAGGGAAATTGTTGGGTCAAAGTGTGGCCATATTTTACGTTTCAAAAAGGACTGCCAAATTATACCCTGAAAAGGTTCTACCAATGTGGACTCCCGCCAGCGATGTGTGAATTCAGATGGCAATTTCTCTTAAGTGTGGTGTGCAAAGTACAGGATTGGAGTATGTGCGATTCAGGAGTTGTCTAACGATGGTGAAATGAATGTCTCTGTAGAAGTTTATATGACAAAAATGGGCCATTTAGTCATAATGGTGTGGAAACAAAGAATCAGTAAAGAGCTTGAGTATTCTGTAATACGTTTGTATATTATCCTTGTCCCACTGGGTTTTATGGCCCGGTGGCATTTATTGTTACTTTGTATTACCATGCCAGAATTGAAAGGTAGCCTCACCAGTTTATATGCCCTTCTTTATAGGATACTTTAGTAGGATACTACTTTTATTAATGACATTATATAATAATTTTTTCCCAGTAAAATATCTGGTCATTTTATTAAAAATTAAAGATTTACCCTTCCCTAGTCCCTCTCCTTTTCTGTTTTTAGCTTTTCTGATATTCCTTTCACAGTTCGAAATAATTTGCTTATTATTGCTATTTCTTAATGTATTAACTTTTCCGAGCTTAGATTTTCTGAGTTACTAGGTAAATCATATGTAATATTTTAAAATTAGAAATCGACAGCCACTGTATACCCATAAATGTAGCCATCATACTGTGAAATATGAAGAATTTAAGTTCATTATCTTTCTCATCTTTGCTGATTTTTATATTATTCTTTGATATAAAAATTATATATTTATATCATTATTGTCTTTCTATTACATAGAAATTTCTGTGTTAGAATTCTATTGTATGGAAAGTTACTCCTGTGTAAGAGGATAAGAAAAAAAACTGACTTACACATGCTCCCCTCTCTCCTTACTTTGGTTAATTATTTTCTCTACATTGGTAATTTTGTATAATTTATATTTTGTTTTATAATTGTTACTATTCCTTCTTGTTTTAGATTGGTAACTTGATTCTAAGAATGGTAAATTAACAAACAGCATTATGAGAGGTGTTGTAGGATTCTGGAGCCAGAATGCCTGGGTTCACTGACCTGTGTGTGACCTTGGGCAAGTTACTAAACCTTACTGTTCTGTTGTTGAAAGAACCAAGCTGACTAAAATCTAAAGGAATTAGAATAGGACTTACATTAAGTGTTAAGTAAGTGTTAGTGATTATTACCTTTACTGTTGTGATTAGGAAATAATTACTGCAGAACCAAGTAGTGCAATTAGTCTCATTAAAAAGGAAATATAGGGGGAGGTTATCAGGAAAACACAACAGTTGCTTAAACAAATAAGAGTTAAATTTTCCGCTACAGAAAGTACGTAGATAGATGGAGGTGGTGATGGTCCACAGCTCATGGATGTCAGGAGAGGGGTCATCGTATTTCCTTGGCTTTTTCCTCAAGACACCAGCTGCCGCTCTTATCACCACCTCTTCATCCAGTGGAATATGGGAGGAGAGAGAAGAGTGGAAGTGTCAGCCATGAGTATCCCTTTTATCTAGAAAGCTGTAACTTCAGCTCAGTCCTCTCCTGTCCAAAACACACACTTCTTTTCACTTGGTGATTGTGAGTAAAGCCGCCGTAAACAGTGATGTGCAAGTTTTTATATACACATAATAAAGATTTTGAAAAATATTTAAGAATGGGTTTGCCAATCATATAAAGCTAGAATGAGCTTTAGAAGAAACTGCCAAACCATCTTCCAGAGTGATTCGAGCATTTTTCATTTCTACCAGCAATGAGTGAGACTTCCTATTGCTACACATCCTCATCGGCAATTGATTTTGTTAATTTTTTGGATTTTAACTATTCTTGCAGGTGTGCAGTAGTCTCTGAGTTTTAAATTTTTAATGTTTATTTTTGAAAGGGAGAGAGCGTGAGTGGGGGAGGGGCATAGAGAGAAAGAGGGAGACACAGAGTCTGAAGCAGGCTCCAGGCTCTGAGCCGTCGGCACAGAGCCCCATGCGGGGCTCGAACTCAGAAACTGCAAGAACATGACCTGAGCTGAAGTCAGAGGCTTAACCGACTGAGCCACCCAGGCTCCCCTGATTTTTAAATTTTTAAAAAATGTTTATTTATTATTTTTGAGAGAGACAGAGCATGAGCAGGGGAGGGGCAGAGAGAGAGAGAGGGAGACATAGAATCTGAAGCAGGCTCCAGGCTCTGTGCTATCTGATGCAGGGCTCAAACTCAGGAACCATGAGATCATGACCTGAGCCGAAGTCGGACGCTTAACCAATTGAGCCACCCAGGCACCCCTCTGATTTTTTAAATTAGCAATTCCCTAATAATAAATGATGTGAAGCATCTTTTTATATGCTTATTTGTCATCTGTAATGTCTTTAATTTGGTGTCTGGTCAGATCTCTTCTCCACTTTTTAGGTAGGTTGTTTGTTTTCTTATTGCTGACTTTTAACAGTTCTTTGAGTATTTGGATACAATTCTAAAGTGATAGGTGATTTGCAAATATTTCCTCCCTGTCACCTGTCTTCTCATTTTCTTAACAGTATTATATACAATGTAAACCTTTAAACTTTAATGCAGTCCAACTTATCTTTTTTTTTTTTTCTTTTATGGATTGTGCTTTTGATTTTGAATAAAAAGCTCATTTCTAAGTCCAGGTTATCTAGATTTCCTTCCGTGTTATCTGCTAGAAGCTTTCTATAGTTTGGCATGTTACATGTAGGTGTATAATCCATTTTGTGTTCATTTTTATTTATGATACAAAGCCTGTGTCTAGGTTCTTTTTTGGTTTTCATGTGGGCATCCAATTGTTCCAGCCCTATTTGTTGAAAACTTTGTCTTTCCTTTTTGATGTGCCTTTTAAAACTCAGTTGACTGTATTCGCACTGCTCTATGTGCCCATTCTTTCACCCACATCACACTGGGTTGGTTATGGTAGTTTTAAGCTAATCTTGAAATATTAATAGTATGGGCCCTCCATCTTTGTTTTCTTCAGTATTGTGTTGAGTCTTTTTGATGTTTTGCCTTTTCACTTACATTTTAGAATCAATTTGTTGTTATTACAAAATAGCTTGCTGTGATTTGGTTGGGATTGCATTGACTATATATCAAGTTTAGAAAACTGACATCTTTTTTTTTTTTAATTTTTTTTTCAACGTTTTTTATTTATTTTTGGGACAGAGAGAGACAGAGCATGAACGGGGGAGGGGCAGAGAGAGAGGGAGACACAGAATTGGAAACAGGCTCCAGGCTCTGAGCCATCAGCCCAGAGCCCGACGCGGGGCTCGAACTCACGGACCGCGAGATCGTGACCTGGCTGAAGTCGGACGCTTAACCGACTGCACCACCCAGGCGCCCCTCAGAAAACTGACATCTTAACAGTACTGAGTCTTTTAATCTATGAACCTGGAATACGTCTCCATTTAATTAGGTCTTCTTTGATTTCTTTCATTAGTGTTTTGTGGTTGTTCACGTACAGATCCTGTACATGTTTTGTTAGGTTTATACATTGTTTTTGGGAGGGCTGTTATTTTAAAGGGTGTATTTAAAAACTTTTCCATTTTATTTTATTTTTTTATTAAAAAAATTTTTTTAATGTTTATTTCTGAGACAGAGAGAGACAGAGCATGAGTGGAGGAGGGGCAGAGAGAGAGGGAGACACAGAATCAGAAGCAAGCTCCAGGCTCTGAGCTGTCTGCACAGAGTCCAAAGTGGGGCTTGAACCCATGAACCATGAGATCATGACCTGAGCTGAAGTTGGTCGCTCAACCGACCGAGTCACCCAGGCACCCCAAAACACTTTTCAATTTTAAATTTCAATTGTTCATCGCTGATACATAGAAGGAAATTGACTTCCATATCTATTGATACTTGTTTGGATGCTGGACATTGTGGTTTTACATTGTTTTAGAATTTCAGATTTTTTTCTGGCAGTTATTTGTGAATTGGTTTGTTACCTTTGAAGTTTATCTTGAACGTTTATAAGGTTTATATAGGTATATAGTAGTTTTTAGTGTAGGGCTAATTTAGCCCCACTACTAAACAATGACTCTTCTATGTTCTCTTTTGAATGCCCCATGTATTAAATAAGATCTCCTCACCCTGATGGAAATGCAAATGTTTCTCGGTTCTGTATTAGCTC